CTGACGATTTTTTATATTATTTCTTTAAACTGTCTGATTTAAATTCTGTTTCTATTCTTTATAGCTTAAAACTTTTTTTTGTTACTTTTTGTTTCTTATTTTTGATAAGAATTTTTTCTTTTCTTTTTTTTATATTTAATTTTTCTAAATACCTTAAAAATTAGTTTATTTAACGCAATTTCAAAATCTGGATATTCATCTATGTGCCCAACCATAAACCAATGTCTATAATTAGTCATCATCTTAAATTATAGACAATAAGTAAATTTTATTATTATCTTCGGCTAATCGAATTCTTTTTGATAAATAACACGTTTTTTGAACTTTGAGTTCCGCCAATATACTTGTACCTTAGTATTTACCAACTATTTAATGAATGCTCTTAGTAATTTACACTGATTTTGCTAAAGCCTTGACAAAGTTGAACATTAAATTCTTTTAAATGTACTACGCGAGTTGGGATTTAGCGAGGCTCTTTTGACATGAGCCGATTTTGTTAAGATTAAAGGTCTATCCTAACAAAAGCGGACCATATTCAGTTTAATACCGTTAAAATATCTTTGGTAGTTCCGCAAAGTGGTATATCATATTTCACCTGTCATTTGACGCTGTTTTTTTGGGAATATTAAAAAATAGAAACAATCCTAAATAATAATTATTTCTGAATAATTTCAATTATTAAATAAAAATTAAGCTATTTAGTACCTATGTGTGAATAATATGTATAATGTATCGATTATGTACAAGTTTTTTTTTAATATTAATAACTTGTATAAATATTTAAAATCTATTATTTTTATTTTTAACTACAAAATCAAATATGTTAAACACTCCAAAGCGCATACAAAAAATCAAAGACTCAGGCTACACTCGCGTGAAACCTGTCGGAATAATCAATTGTATGCGAATAAATGAAGAAATTTTGATGTTATTCACGTAGTAGTTTACGTACAATGTAACTCGTTGAGAATATATTTTATAAACATTTTTTAACTAATTACATATAACAAAATTAACTTATTTTAACTATTTTATCAATATAATAACAAAATATACCACGATTCTGCGAACCAATATATGAGTTTGGTTTAGTAGTTTTAAACAACTTTTAACCTATACAAGTATACGGCTATCCACGATTCATACTCGTACCTGTTTTATTATAATTTACTAACGCATATCACCGATTATTATCGTTTTATAGCTCCTGCAAAAATAACCAAATTTGTTTATGTTTCATTTTTAGAAACGCGCGAACCTATATACAGCTATTTACAAAGTAGTTCGCTTAAAGTAAAATTGTAATTATCAAAATTCCTATAAGTAGTAAATATTTCATGCTAATGAATTATAAAATGTAACAAACAATGGTAAATACTAAGTACTCGTAAACAAATAATAATACATCCCTGTGATCACAGACTGTTATTATGTGAATAATTAATGATTAAAAAATTATAAACAATACCGTAAGACAATTATTTTATAAACAAACATTTGAGTAATTTATATTATTGTATAAGTACTAATTATTAAGTAGCTATACCTACAATGTAGACATGTAGTACATAATGATCTTTGATACGACAAAAAATACGCTATTTGTAAATCATCGAAAAAACACGATAATTTATAATAAATAAATTATCATTATTATTATTATATGATTCAGATATACGTTTATTAAATAAGCATGATACTCATATGAACACTAAAATGCTCCGATAAACCGTTAACCGGATGAACTCAAATAAACGTACGTAAATCAGTGCAAATAATACCTATTACACAATACCTGTTGCATACATCGTTGTAAATAAAATGAAATGGTTCATACATTGTATTATTGTAACAAATAATAAAAAAAAAATGCTAATAGTTAAATTAATTTTTATTTCATTTTATGCAAGTGAATTTTATATATTTATTAAAAAAAAAAAAAATTATAAATACATACTTAAATAAATCCAAGACCCAACCAGCAATAGATATATACCTATATATATATTTATATATTCTACTATACTGCAAATAGTAGTTTATTTTATTGCTATTCAAGCAATTTTTAAAGACAATAACGTTGTTTTTTGGGACAGAAGAGGTGATTCGCCTATCACTGTTTTAACCCGTTGTGAAAAACGAAAAAAAATATATTGCTTCTCAATTATATTATCAGTTGTTTGTTCTTTAATCTGTAAATAGACGATCTTTTTTACTTATATTTCCGTATAACCTAACCATGAAAAACAGAAAAACATAATCGTATTTCCGGTAAACGTTAATCAAAATGTCAACTATAGTAAAATATTTTCCATGACGTAGCCTCTATATTATCAATACAGCTGCAATACATCAAAATATGGAAAAAAAACGGTCAGAAAGTTTGAAAATTAAGAGACAGTAAGACTTAAACTTTTAAAATATTTTTTGAAAGGGTCAGTACAGTCGTCTTAAAGAATGTTTCATACATACTCACATATAACAATATAAAAAATAATAAAAATAACGAGTAAAAAATAATATTTTAATAAATAACAATGTATTATTAAAACGGTTATCATATAATACAAGTATAATATGATGTAAAATAATAATATATTGACTATATTATTAATACTAATACACTTAGTGATATGCAAAAAAAAATATAATGCCCATATTAATGTATCGCATATTTACCAAACTGGTAAAACAATTTCGAGTTCATCAAGGCATCAAGTAATCAATTCAATTATTTTATTATTTACAAAAACAATATTGTTTTATACTAGAAATTTTTATTTGGAGACTAATTATTATTAATATGAATTATTGAAATTTTGTTCCAGAATAACTGACCGTCTATTTACACTGTATCTGTACAAGCCATCACAACACCAAAAAAATGGATGTATTCAACATTTAATGGCCAGCTTAACGTTAATTTGACCTATTTGCGAGTTAGTACCTAGTTACCAATATTACCATGGATGCACAAGTGTAGTTATAAATTTGATCTCAATTTGTATACATTTTAACCTTAAGATATAGCTATAATATAGACTTCAAGTATCCAAACGTCGTGGTTCTTAAAGTTTAGTCATCATGCCCTGAATATTTTTATATGTTTAAGAATTCAAATTTTTTATATTTATAAATGCTGTGGTATCTCTAGTTTTTGTCTTACCTATTTACTTACATTTAGTACTTAAAATTAAAATTTAATATATTAAATAAATGAAAAAAGGCTGATTTATTGTATACATTTTATTATTGTAATCAATAATCAGCCCTATTTTTTAAATTTGGATGATGAACATTTGTGTAAAAAAACGAGTCTAATGTTTAAGTGTCCCGTCCGTATGTATAATTTCACGATTTCTTTTAAAAATAAAATGTTTGAGGTACATGAAAATATCATAACAAAGTTTTCCTTTTTATCATTCCCATATAAAAAAAGGCTCACCTTGTTTAGTTGTTATGTTCATTTTTTTCAACAATAAATGAACTTCTTCTAAACTTGTGGAGTACGCTGGTAATACTTTGTATGGAGCTTCGTATATATTCGTCTTTATGCTTTTTATGTCTATTATAGTAAACTGTAAGACTCAACATTTTCACAAAGTTTACTTAAGAATTAAGATAATTGTTTTTGGTTAGTCTCATTAAAAGTGCTTCGGCTGCTTTTCGTTTACACGCTAAGTTAACAATTTGCCTCGATATTGTATTCTGATCATATGGAGAATGGTTATGTAATTAATTTTTCAGATGATCTTGTACAACAATTTCATTTTCTGTTAACACTTTAGCATAAAAATATTTTTTAATATAACGCCAACATGTTGAGTTATTATATTTTGTTCATTAATTCGATATTTAATATTTGAGTATCTAAACATAATAATGTTTCTCTGCGATTATTTATGATTAATTCAGCCATATTAAGTTAAAAAAAAATAATAGTTTTGAACGATGAAAACAACATAAGAGTATAACACACGCACAGATATTGTAGTAATTACTAATTAAACAAGCATTGATTTTACAAAAATAAAATAAGAAACGAGACAATTTAATCAGTTATTGATATTTTATCTTGGCTACAAGAGAGTGACTCTTTACAATAGGTACCTATGATGATCGGTCTTGGTACATACTATATAAACCTATATATGTTAATTACTTCACATCATATCCAAACTCGACAACCGTTGATCGAATAATTAATGACCAATATCATACACAGGTTTTAATCATTTTCGATATGTATGACATAAAGTATGTATCAAATTTTTTGTTTCAGCCAAAAATTAAATAGGTTGAGAAGGGAAAGGTGCGTTTTAGTCAAAAAGGGTCTCCACCCTACCTACCTACATACATGATAAAATAATAATTGATGTATTTAAACATTTTAAACTAAGGTAGATTACAGTATCTAAACTTATTTTTTATCATAATTATTTTAGCTCTATTCACCACTGAAGAAAATATATTGACTAACTCAGAAAAGATAAGGAAATTTATTTATTTATTTTTTTGTGGGGAATTACTCGTAAATGAAGTTTTTATTGGTTTTCATTTTATTTATGGATTTTCTCCTTAATTCATTGGACACCTAAACGTATAATTACATCACGTTTTGATGGTTCAAAAAAAAATAACCAAAAATGGTAATCCCTGCACTTTATTCGATACAAATGACGAGAAATTTGTATGCACGTAAATTTAATCCGATATAGCGGTACCAACAAAATATAATAAGCGTCTAATCTTCGAACGAAATATTACGCACGACCGTAGTGTACACATTATATACACGCTGAGTAATATATAACATACACACACACACAATATCATATTATGTGTATACGTTCCTTCGTTATTGTTATAAATGTTCATATATATATAATAGATAAAAGAAATATTATAATAATAATATTATAAATTATACATTGATAAGTCGTCCGGGTCAACGGGGCACTTTTTGTTCGTCCTAATCGCGGCGGCAGAGTCCATCTCGTCGTTTCAGAATGTCGGCACACAGTTATTCACGAACTCAATAACTACGCACACACGCGACGCGGCCTACTCGGAGCTTAACAGTACGTATTTCTGTCGTACGAACGTTTATTCATCGGATGCTGGCAATCGTCTTGTCGTCGCTCATCAACACCAATCGGTCCACGAAACATTCCGCGAAATCGTTCCGTCAACTGTGGTCGTCGGCATGAAGACGACCGTCGCACTAGCCATCGCGCTGTCCCTGTGCGGAGTTCTTCCGTTCGTCGCACGTCCGGCAGGTACTTGATTTCATTATTATTATTATTATTATTATACGTTACCACTGTCGTTATTTAACACTGGACGACCTCGAAATTGTACGTTTTTCTACTATCGTTATTATTATTTTTACTATTTGTCTTTAACCACCGTTTTGAGCCCTCGTCGTACGACCGTTTTACCATTGCAGTATCGCGTGAAAAGGGGAATACATAATTATTAAGTCAATCATAGCGACCGAACAACGTTTGCGCGAGTATGGCGCAGCGAAGATTTTCATTTGCAAATTGTATTTTCAGTCCGCGCGCACGTATATGCGATGACTAACGTTGCCTTAAATCTCAGGTCCGCACCCCATATTATTATTATTATACATACGCCACGTATAAATGCGACCGCCATTACGCTTCTGAAGTCCATAAATACACACAACATTTACACGCTATATATCATGGTACACACATATATATATACATATATATGTATAATATATAATATGTGTGTACCATATCACTGTAATGCGCGGCAACTCGCGTACACACGTGTACGCAGTGTACATAATATTACCTATAGCTACGGATCGGAATAATTAATGGTTGCTGTTATAATATATATTTATGTTATAATATGTATTTTACTCGAATTTTGATCACCGTAGTAGAACGTCTTAAAATAATTGCGTACATATTGGAGACACGTTCGTCAGCCATCGATGCTTTCGTCACCGGGCTCTAGACCGAAATATTACACAGTACACACGTATTATCGCCATAATGTTGATAGCTTATAGATGAGACCATAATAGTGTTTTCGCAAATTTAATATATTTTACCGACGTCCGGCAGTTTAATATATCAACCCTCGTGATTCTGCGGATTGAGATTCATATACTAATTTCAAAGTTACTCTCAAAATCTATCCCGTACAATATATTCTATGATATACGTACGCACATACATCTCCCGCGTAATGAATTGTTATGGAAACTAGCTCTTATTCCTAAGACCAATTATAACAATAAATTGTTTTTCACAAAATTGTGTTGTACTCATCACTCGACAGCATCAACTATTATTATTATTAATTGTAATTTGAACTCTTGATATTATGTGTTCTATCAAAAAAATAAAAAATAAATAAATAATAATAATTAATAATTTTTGCACAATTTTTTCATGTTTTATAAATAGAACGTGGATTTCTATGCAATTTCATATTTTTTCCTTTTAACTTTTTTGGATTTCTGTCAGTTATCTTTACGAATAATAATAATTTGAATCTAATGGTAAAATTTTTTTTGACATATTTCTTCATATTTAATAGTTATTGTATATGTTTACGAAATTCGAAATGTATCACATATTTAAACAAACAATTTGTATTAAATATTTAAATAGGTAATTAATTATAATAAGTTGTTTAATTTGTGAATTTTAAGTAAACGAAATTTTTTTTTACATATTTGTTACATATTTTCATAATTTTTTACAGCATATTATATTGCATATATTTTGATACTTTTTAATGCATAAAAATCCGTCTTTACTTATTAACATGTTTATTTTAAAAACAAAAATTACTTAACTATAATAATTCGAAGATAACGCGGTCTGCTTGTTTTAATAGCATAAATTAAATAAAATATGGTAACAGGCGTCCGAACTAGGCCTTCGGGCCTACTCCCGGACATAAGCGCCATATGCTAAAAAAAAAAAAAAAATAAAAAAAATAAAATATAAATAATAAAGAACAGTATTGTTTCCGTAGGTAATATTTACAAAATAAATCTAAATAAATTATGAAATAAATACCTTGTAAATTATTATGTAACGCATAACATTAGAAGCGACACTTCATTGGTTTATACGTTTTTAAATATATTAAATATATAACTGATTAATAGCCAAAAGGTAGTTTAATTTTATGTTATCTCATTGTTTTTCCTACATTTATGTATTATTATCAAAATTAAATACGCGGTTTTTTAATAAAATGATGATCAAAAATATTTTTTTGACATTTTTAACTATATGCCCACAATGCACAACGTAAAAATGATGTTACATACATATATATGCTAACTGCTATTGTGAGATAACAAATAATTATAAAATATAATGCTTTACTATAATTACCTACACAGATTATTAATTTAATATTAAAATTATAACAAAATAAACATATTCAGAATATGATGTATAATTGTGAATTGCCCGTATTACAAGTAAAATATTGAAAATGAACCACATATTTATGCTCGTATATTGTTAAGCAAACACCGTTTTAGTGTAATAAAGATTATTATTTATCGAAGAGTACATTTACATCTCATAAACTTCAATTTATTTATTAAATATAGAAAATAAAACTTAAGTTATATTTTAAAAAGTATTAAAATATTATAAATTGAATAATAATTATTTTAATAATACATTGTATTAAAAACTATTTGAAGATTGTTATGTAATATTTCTCCAATCTTTAAGTATTTTATTTTCACGTTTTTTGATACTGAAATCCAAAAATATTTATGTATTTAATTTTCTAATCTAAATATAAGACGTTATTGTAGTGCTTTTACATAAGTACTTTTTTATTACCCAAAAAGGCATACAGAGAAATAAGAAACGCATATAATTTTAAAATCATATGCACCACTTAGAGCGTATATAATACATTAATAGGCAATAAAAAGTATAGATTGGAATGCCAAATACAATGACTTGATATTGGGTGCTCTTTATTGTACAAACTTTTATTGTATTATTATGAATAATTTTGTTCACAATATAATCATTCTTAGTAGTCTACTACTGCAGTATTATGTGGGACTTTTTACATATTTTAATCTTTCATAAAAATAAATACCTCAATAATATGAGTGCAAAATGATCATTTTTAAAACTAACCGACTGTTAAAATTAATTAATTATATTAATATTGTAATAATGGATCAAAATATTAAATCTTAATTTACTTAATTATTGAGTATAATATTTTTTTTAAAGTAACGAACATTTACAGTCAATACCATAAAGTGTTACAGTTACTTAAAATATAAAATAATTTAAAATAAATATGTACCCTGTACTGTACCTACTATAAACCTACGACTTTATTTTTGTTTGCTTAATGCTATTAAAATGTTAAATGTTTTAAATGGTAAGTTTGGACATCATTATTAAGTAGTTCTATGTTTGTATACCTATACAATAGAAATATTTTTATAGCAGTAAATTTGTCTAATTGAATTTGATTGATATGCTTATGTGTACAACCATCCGGAATGGCGACTTCATGTGTAGGTTAAAAAAAATACATTACAAGACTAATACCACAATCCAATTGCTTACCTCAGAATCTAATACAATTGAACAATGTACAGCGACCAACGGCGTAGATAGTACGTGTTAGTCAAGCAAATTGGTAATTCCTTTGATAATATTAAGTACTACAGCCATCTGCACAATTTTGCTGGTTTAGACTGTATTTTATAAAAAGCTAACATACAAAAGTAATACCATCATCAAAGGTTTTATTCTTTTGTCATATAAGTACACAGATAATTTCTACTATAAAACTCACTATTTTACACATTTAATCAAAACTTTTTTTTCTAAGTTCAAATATCCTAATGTTCAAGGTTTTAACTGAATAACTAATATGTATGCTAAAATATTCATATTATATTTTACGATCCAAAAGACACAACATATGGGAAAATGGTTCTCAAAATTATCCACTCTTTTAAATAATAATATTTTAATATATTAACAGTAGTGAGTATAACTGTTGAAATATTTTTATCTCTACATAGTAATTAATATGATACACTCCATGAACACGTTAAATCCCATTTTTTTCTTTTGACAACTATGGATTTATAAAAATTCGGATTTTCGATATTTCTAAGCAAATTTAAAAATCATGTGAAATAAACTTCATTTCTCAAATCATAATTTGATTACAAATTGTTAAGGATGTATAGTAGATAGTATACAATTATTTTAAGTATTGGAAAATATAGTCTTTGAGTATACTTAAAAATGTTAAAAATAATAATATGAATAAATGCATTAATAAAGGATAAAAGAGAGCTAACTCTTCGTGTATCACCTTGTATAATATATAAAATATTATGCTACTATTTAGCTTTCCGGTCAATTAAATTAAGCCACGTGTATTTAAGTGCATGCAATATTTATTTATACAACGCTATAACCTCGAGTTTTCGATAACCTGTTAAACTAATGTGGTTTCACTGGAATTTTGTCCATGATAAATTCATCTTAAATAGTATGTTCTTTGAAAATCTTATAGACTTCTGCTGTAAAACTCATTACATTATCGAGATTTGAAAAATATATATCATATAATTAACATTGTTATTACCTTTATTATTTTTTTCAACTAACATACCTTAAAATATGTTGCGTAATTAAAATTATTTTAGATATTTATTCCATACAAACAAAGTCATTTTAAACTTTAAACCATTTGTTCGTATGAGACTATACATTTCATTCGTAGACTAAATCAACATTAAATATTTTTTTTAATTATTTTTAATTATTAAATCCTATCATATACTTCCTAAGATTTTATTAATAAAATTGTCAGATATTATAATATATTTTACGAGTACATTCTCTAATCTCTATCAAATAACTATTATGACTAGGCAATGCGATGATACCTACAAAATCTCCAAATACCTATGATTATTAAAATATAATATTGTTATTCATTTAAAATACTTACCTAAAATACTATCTATATCTATCTATAGAATTGTGAACCAAAAACAGTTGTAAAATTATTATGTTGTGTTGTTTATGATAAATGGGAAAACAGTGATAAATCTTGATATTCAAAAAAATATTCTGATACATCTATGTATTTTAGTGATAATATAATGATATTTATTTTTTTCTGTGTTTAACCGACAGCAGAGGAAGCTCTATTTGAACAATACTACTCCTTGTATATTATATTATTAATTTATAATATATATTCTCGAGCATTAATTTTTGTAAAAATTGTATTTTCTTTCCAATTCCAATTTAAAATTAATAATATACAGTAAAAAAATTATCAACGTCATTCATGAACTACTTAATTTTTACAAAATAGTATGATAAATTGATAATCGATTCAGATTAAAAATTTCTAAATATCGTCATTTTTCAAATTAAAACTAAATATCATACACACTATTTTATAAAAACTGCTATGTTTTAAAATATAATATTATATGTCTACGTGAGGATTTACTCAAAGATCAAGTAGTATCTAAATATAGTTTATTGTTATCTGTTTTATTGTTAATTTAACATTTTTAATATTTATATATTCATGATTTTCAGCGTAATGGTATGTACCTACCTCGGTATTGGTTTAATTTAATTTAAATTTTAGTCGCACTGTCAATAAATCTGGCTTTAAGCCTTTTTTCCAACCATTAACGAATAATTCAATTTTGAAATATGTCAGGTTTGATAAATCCGATCTTAGATTAATATTGAAACTAAAACGATATTTCTTTTTTTTTTCTCTTTAATAGAATTTTTAAGAACATTTAAATTGACACACAATTTAAAGTCAAAAAGCCAAATTTAATTATCCATCAATATTAAAAGAAATAATTATAAAAAAAAAAAATGATTTCTCATTTCTCAATATTATGAATATATTTTATAACGAGTATATACACGAATTTATAAATATACTTCTCTGTTTTATACTTTTATCAATATTATTTTGTCGTAAATTTATAGTTTATTATATTGACATTGAATAGGGCCAAAACGTATAATAAGATCAGTGGCCATATTGCTATAACGTCGGTCGTGTCATTGTTTAGTGATTGCATCTGATAGCTCGTTTATTGCTCGACATATAGGAAAATGGTCCGAATAAATATGTCTTTGTTGTTTTTGGATAAACTTACTGATAAAGTTTTGAACGCAGAAAAGGTTTTCTTGGACTAAACGTCCATATCTGTTAACATAAATAATGTATCATAAAATGTTCGATTGCAATCTATTGGAAGGAGTACATACTTTTGTATTATATTATCTAAAACATATGAAATGAATTTTCGATGAAATCATTGTTATATATGTATAGAAAAAAAAATGTCTAAAGTACTACTACGCACAATTAATTTATTTTTAATAAAAAAAAACAAACATTTTTAATAAAATAGGTTATAATGAAATTATAATAGTTCTATGTTATATTAATTGTAATAATACATATTATATGATACTATTTTGTATAAAATTATTTTCAGCGTTCGTTTTCCAATATTATCATATGTATAAATCTTTCAGCAACTAATAATAATTTTTTTATTTCAGTCGCTTTACCAATAGCTGTAGATGAACAAGACGCAACTACTATCGCTACTATCGAGGTTCCTACCACTATCAATCCTCAAGAGTCCACGGCCGAGAATGTGGTCCAAACCACCGTTGAACCAGCAGTGAACACGACTGAATATGTCGAGATCGTTGCTGAATCTATATCTGATACCACAACCGAAGTTGAGTTTCAAACCACGACTGAACTAGTAGTGGACACGACCGAATATGTCACTCCTGATTCTGATACCACTATCAAAAATGTAGTGCAGACCACCACTCCACCGTTGGAAGTACCCACTACTCTACCGTTGGAAGTACCCACCACTCCACCGTTGGAAGTACCCACCAATAACACGGAAGTTAGTATACCAACAACGATACCAACAGAAGTAATCAAGGATAAGCTAAGCGAACAGATCAGGAAAATCCTAAAACACTACCAGGGACCTGACCCCGTTGGCTTTCCAGGCGCCCCGATTCCTGATCCACTAAGTATACCCCCAATGAACAAAGATTTTGGTATGGCATTTATGACATTCAAAAACATGACTGTACACGGACTTTCCAAGTTCAAAGTGGAACAAGTCAATACGGATTTAAAAAACATGCGAGTAAGTGTTTTTTGATAAAAAAAAAAAAAGATTGTTCTATCCAAAAATTGAGAATAGTATTATGTCAGTATGTCAGAAAGGTTTAATAGCTCAATGAATTAAAAATGTAATAACACTTGACTTTATAAATTCATTAAATTTACCAAGTTGTTTCAAAATTTAACACTATAGATCAATTGAAAATCGAGAAAAACTATTTAAATATATTTTTCCTTTTCGAAATAAAAACACTCTTAAGTTCATTTTATAACTTAACAATTACAAAAATAGAATTTCTATTGCATGTATTTAATAAAAAATATATCAATTATAGTATTCAAAACCACACAATCAAAATCATATAGATAAAAATAAATCTTAACTTATATTAAGAACATTAAATTAGAAACACGCATATTGGTATCGGAAAAAATAACATGGATTGTAGAATATCACTATCATAAATGATAATTATTATTATAAAATATGATATTTAGATTCACTAGATAATATTACCCCGTGACATATTATACTTTTTGATATCATGCATTCATAAATGTATTAAAATTTTAATTTATGAAACTTTAAAACACCTAACTATACCCGCTTTCTTACTTTTTGATTTTTAATGAGAATTTCGATGTACTTAACTAAATCAAAATTCGAACAAGTAATTTTTGAATTAGTTTAATATGTGTACATAGGTGGTGTATGCATACTGCAAAGACGACAGTTTTGTACCAATAAACTAACGTGTTTGATAATTTTTTTTCTTGAAATCTATCACAATCTTTCACTTAAGAAGGCCACAATTGTTCGATTTCTTAAATCCATTCAAGTATAATATTATTACATGTCTACCTATAATAATAATATGTATACCTTTCTGAACTCGAGTATATTTGGATATATTTCCATAGTACTCTATTCTCTATTATAGAGATTTACTTCCACAATATATTATAATCACTTGTTTAAGTACCTTATGTTACCTATATATCCTTGGTGTTGAGTAATAAATAAAAATACCGTCCGCGATTACCAATGCAACGCCACTCAATCGAGTCTTTATTGACATTCCGATGCGGTGCTTCTATAAAGTAAATATTTTATACAAATACTTGTTCCTTTTTTTACATGTACAATAATACGTCTTAACGCGTGAGTTCGTTTGAAATATACCTTTGGCTATTTTATCGTTTCTTTGAAATCGTATATCGTTAGTATGCTTATTAGCTTCGAAGTTCAAAGTTACCGTGAGTATTTTGATATATTAAAATGTTAACAATTTCCATATTTCCATATTATAATAATCGTATAGCCGTATATTATATACACATACAGTGGTCAGGTCAATGTTATAAAACACGCACGTTTTGTCATAGATATAATAATATAATTATAATAATTATAAATTATAAATAAAAATAACTATTAAAAATTGAATAGTTGTATTTTTTGGTCATTTATTAAACCTTAAATTTTAATGTGCAAAAATACTAATCGTACCCTTTCAGATTAAAGATGCATCCAACGCATAAACGTAGATGGATAGCTTCTGCTACCCCTCAAGTATTCAAATTTATTTTAGGGTTAAGCCGTCTTACACAGTTATTTACAAAAGGTTGATAGTATTTTCAAAGCTAACTCGTGAAAGCCAAAAACAATTGATGACATTCGAGTTTTCGAAATCCGTTTTAGCCGATGACATTAATTATATAATTTTAACATAGTTAATGAAGACATAATCAAAATTACATTTTTACGACGTTTATTGTAGCCTGTAGCGTACTATATTTTTTTCTATCGTAAATAACGATTACGCGTATATCCATTATATGCATACAAATATAACATCATTTTTTGACCAAAAATCTAATTCTCTTTAATTAATAATTAATTAATACAATATTATTTAATCTATGCCTACTATCACTATATTATGCGTACAACCCGATCCGAACCCAATCTACTCCCTACCCGGGTTTAAGTGAACCTGACAGAATAAACTCTGATCATGCAACGGTTTTCACAGGTGTACGTGCTATTGAAAATCAAACGGATGTATGTGCTGGGCAACTACACGCTGAGGTCATGGCTGAGCCGACCAGCAGCTGGCCCGTTCAACGTGACGCTCATCGACGTGGAAGCCGCCGCAGAGGCTGCACTTGAACCGGACGAAGATGGCATCCTGCAGGCCACTAACACAGAAATGGACATGCAGTTCAAGGACTGCGAGTTAGATTTCAAAAATCTCGGGTTCGGCGCTTCTATGTTACAAGGCGTCATCAGCACGATGGGGTCGGTGCTGTTCGAGGGTATCAAGCCGTTCATCATCAACGAGGTGAACACCAACCTGCGAGCGGACGTCAACGCCCAAGTGAAGGCTATCACTAGCAAGCTGCCCAAGATCACCGTGCCGGTACCGGACTTGGCGGTAGCCGAAGGTAGGGCATACGTCCGGCGGATGGGCTTCGACCCGTACCACATGGTCGACAGACATATCAACGAGGGACCCCTCAACTTAACGATCACCAAACTGACCGTAGCCGGGCTGTCCAACTTTCAGCGCGTGGGTGACATTGGGCTGCAAGTCCGCGGCCCCGTGCTCCAGCTGGCCGTGCACGTCATTACCGGCACGATAAACGGGTCGCTGCAGTGGAGCTACCAGCTGGGCTTAACCAAGACATTCGGCCGGGCGGGAGTATCTAACTTCACCGTGGACCACATCCAGGTCCGGGCGGTGGTCAACCAGACGCTGGACATCCGCAACAAACCGGTGCTGGAGAAACTCGACATCGAAGTTGGCAAGATCGAGGTAATCATGGACCGGAAGGAGCCACTTGACTTCGTCGTTGAGGTCGCAGTCAACTCGTTGCCATCGCTATTGCGGCACATTATAGTCGACGCGCTCGAGGAGCCTATCAAGATGAAAGTGCAAACCATACTGGACGACGTTAAGGTCGAGAAGCTGGTCGAGGACAGGCTGCCCGAACTCGACCGGTTGGCCGGCGATTGAATGCCTACCTCACTTCCACCACATCTATCCTTATCATCGCTCTTTTCTAATCCACCTTTATTAAATTCTGGGCCACGAATTTACATAAAATATACAAAACATATCTTTTTGTAGGTATACATTAATGTAACCAGTGCCGGCCGCTTCGACAAATATCTACAATATATATTATATATATTATGAATTATCTCATCGTATAATATTATACTTAAAAGTTATAACCGAGGTTTTTTTTTAGGTAGTTTTTTATACTTTAGTATATATGTACCTATACTTAATAATAATAATAATATTTATAAGTATAGTATGTTGTATATTAGATAAGCGTCAAAAACTTTCAAATTTTCAAATCGATTTTAATTCGAAATTAAAATTTTAATTTTAACATATCTATTATTACATTGTTTACGATATTTAATGTTATGTTCACGTAATAATATTTTAGATTGTAATATTATATATTGCCTATTATTGTATATAACGATTTGTAATACTAGCTAATTTAATTAAATAGGAACACAACAAATTGATTATTACAATATTATAAATAAAGAAATGCGTAGTTAGTTGTAGATACATCATTCAGATGATTCGTCATTTGAAATTTTCTACACAGATTTTATTATTATGAAATGTATATTATATAAGTATACATTTCGATATTTGTTTATTATCTATCATGATTGTAACATTCTGCATATTATTATATAATTTAATATGTGTAACTGTACGGACGTTGTATTTGTGTGTTATTTTATCTCTATTTAATCATTTGTAATTATAAAATATGTGGGTCATATACTGAGACTAAAGAGGGTTTTTTTATATATATAACCTTATACTGGTTATAAACGTATTATAAAAATTGACCTTTTATACAGTTTAGGAAGGTATACCTACTATTATAATCGTCCAACGGATTGTTTCCTTATTATGTTATTTATTATTATATACACAGGCATTGCCTATTTGCGCTAAAAAAAAAATGTTTATCCAAATCGGGTCTCTATAACCCATCAATGCAAAAATAAAAAGGTATGTTTGTATCGACAGCCCTTTTGCGTCAAAACTATCTTTACATACATTTTGCATTTGTTTAACTAAACACTGGGAAAGGTAGTGCAAAGCAATAGCTCTAAACAAAAAATAATACAATTAGGTGAAATAAGTTTGGAATCCTAGCGTACGCAAATAATTCAATGCTATTAGCATAAAATTAAAAAGTGCTCATTGAACAAACCCGAAGATAGAGACAAAAAATATGAGTTGAATTGGAAAATATTGTGGAAAAGACAGTGTGTATACAGTAGCTTATGGAGCAATTTTATCACAGGATGAACATATTCATTTGGATTGGGAGAAATGGATACATATAGGTACATATTTAATAGAATACAAGAGTTTAAGTACCTAACTATGAGTACACTTTTAAGTTATAACTAGGAAAAAATTGTATAGTTGATTTTTAGCACTTGCTCAAATGCAAATGCTAGAGAGTAAAATAATAGCTTTATCAAAAACCCAATATACAAGTAATAGATGAAATAAGAATAAAGAGGTTGCTCTCTTGGGGGCTACGTGTAACGAAAAGGTAGTTTGGTGAGTTCCCACACGAAGTGTGGCAGATAAACGTTTACATATTGTAAGTTCCTGCACGAACAGAAATAAACCAATAAGTAATATGCAATTTCTGACATAGCGATAATGCCTTATTAATAATAGATAGTAGGAAGTAGATTAAATGCATTATTAATATCTATTATCAAGACTCGACTATATTACTTCAGCTTACATAAAGTAATAATAAATACAATATAATAGTTATAATAAATGTGGTTCGCCAGATTACCTATGATACGATAAATAATATGGATCATCTATTTTTTTGAATTCATTACTCATTGATTATTAACAACAGAGTTCACATTTCACGTTATACATTTATAAAAATGAACTTAATTTTTTTTTATGTTTAATGAAAAAAAAAAAATTCTTTTAATATGGTATAATTCTATGATATAAGATATAACAATACATTTTATAAAAAACACATCATATTGCAATAGACCTTAAAAAATAAGTAAGAACAGCGAATAAAAACAAAATTATATAATTAACAACATATTAAAATACAACATAAAAAATAACACAGTATGACTACCTATGTAATATGTTAAGAATTTGAGCTTTCGCAATATGCCACATAAAATGTAATTTACATTATTGTTATTATTATTATTTTAAATAAGTATAGTATGTGAACTATACGTCTATACATTACAAATGACTAGGATTCAATTAAAAATTAGATTTGATTGTTCTTACAAAATACAAAAATAAAAAAATTTTAACTATGCCAACCCCATTGTTAGTCCTAAATCTGAATGAAAAAATGGGAAGAAAATTTGTATATGTCATAATTTTTATTTGTGTAAAATTTGATATGTAATAGATGGATTTTTTTTTTTAAAGAACTTGCGTAACCATAACCACGAGGTTAAGATAAAAAGACTTGGTTATCAAAGACATATGAAGGATTATACTGGACAATGGACATAGTGTAATGGAGGGTATACCCACTTCTCTGATTTTCCGTAAGTGCGTATACTTATAGAATAACACATGATACGCGGGTATACGTGTATCGGAATGCATTTATTCTACAAACAGTACAAATTACGATAGTACAAGACTATAATTAAACATTAACATTATCTATTGCACAGCGCATGGCTAAATTATGTTATTTCTATGGGGGGATGTGGGGGGCAAAGCCTCCCACGTTTATATTTCAAACACATTTAAGCGTATACTCACTAAAAAAAATTACAACTACATCACTGAACATAGATAGACAAGTACGGATTTAACAAAGATGGATATCTATGTTTATAAAACGGAGTAAAAATATTTTTGGCGGTCCATTTCTTTCCTTTGGGTCAGCGAGCCACCAATTACCGACTCTTGCTATACCTAAGCTTATTATATTATATCTATCTTTAAAATTGAATTAAATCGTGTCATTATCGAGAAATATAAACGTAAGTAAATTTGGCCAGCACGAATTATTCGTTACACGCATGTGGATTAAAAATGTTGGCGCAATCGGATAATCCCCCTCACGCTGCTAACGAGTGGTCCAAAAAAGATCTTAATTTATGTTTGTATTGTATAACAATACACGCGAATCAGGTCACACTATTATTTGAAAAAGAATTTAAATTATTTCAAACAAATTTATGGGAAAAGTAAATTAGAATCGTACTCAGCAATCGCGCGTGGCGCGTCACAGTGCTTCCCCCCCCCCCCCCCCCCCCCCCCAGTGAGCATAATATTGATCAATAAATAATGCACATACCTAATAATTATAACAATAATAAAATTATATTTATTTATATTAATAAATTAAAATTACTTTAGTTCATGATAAGTTAATTAATGATGTAAAAATCCATACTAATTATACCAAACGTTAATTACTGTTGCTATTGTACTCACACTTAAATTACATTTCGTTTATACGGTGTACGTACTCCACACTGCCATCAGCCATGTAATATGTCACGAGTCGATTCGCATCTCATATTCTCGCGGCACCTGCTATTTACTTAAATGCACCTAATAATTAAATACCTTTATTCAATGTCATTCTCTGTCTACCAAAACCAACTATCCCTGTAAACGTATTTAAATATATGTAGTTTCTGATGTGATAACTGATAATAATATATGCGCACAGGAATGGTTTTTCTCAAATGTCTAGTGTATTTTGATTTTGCGTTTATACTATTTATACGGAACTTCCTACAGGCGGCCCTAGCACAATCATGATGTGAAAGTTTTTCTTGAAAAAAATGAAACATGTAAATCTTTTAACGTATATTAAATTTAAATAAGCTAGACAACACGACACACGATAGCCGAGAAGAATGCCTAAGTATTTAAATTAAAACAACTGACAAATACTCACTTTTTTAATGACAATTATTATTATCGACCATTTTTAAGCGGTTCGAAACGGGCAATTTTTTAAGCGCTTGCGGTCGCGTATACAGCCCGTGGTCAGTGATCGCTGCAAATTAATAATCATTAATCATTAGTCTCATTGCGTTATAAAAGTAGGTAGCGAAATGACGTGCAAGATTTCTGCGTATGTATGCACGTATGAAATGTATTAATATCACCAATCGACGATCGTCGGTCAACAAGGTGAAACTTTTTTCGCCATGAAACGTGTTTATTTTGTTCATAGTACCTATATAGATATAGCCGGTATAGATCAACATTCAACACTAGTAATGCGGAAATAGGTAGGTAAATATTTGTAATCATATTTGATTCATTAATATTCGAAGTCCCTCTACTACTCCTTTCACTAGACTTTTTGTCTATGGGCACGTAGGTAAAGTTTTTACTGTCAATAATGTTGCAGGTCACAATTTCACGTCTCTGGTAAAAATAACATAGGACGTTGGTAAATAATAATAATACTACGACTATCAAACGTATGGAAACTTTTCACGTAGGTATCTACATAATTGTATCATCAATTGTACACTTTTTCTTCAAACAGTTAAGCATTGACGACTGACAAAAATCGTAGGAATAAAATTATTTTTCCACAGATAGGTTTTTTTTTCTCAGTTGAGGTCTCTGATAACCACGATGACTGCTGTTTAATTGTATCTCAAATTATAACTATAGCACGTACCGAGTAGACTAATAGACTAGGTACACCACTAAATGATATATTATGTTATGAATTACTTAATCCAGTTGTTATTTATGGTCTATTGACATAAATATATGTACTTTTATATTTATTTAAACACAAAAAAATCATTACATTCATAAGCTAAAGCTGCTAATACTCTAGGGCAGCTGGGCAGGAACCAGGGGGTGTGGAATGGTTTTGTATTAGCCATTATTTGAAAACAAATAACTGTAAAATCACGACTTTCAGTTAAAAAAAAAAATGCTATAGTACAAAAAACGACTGATATGTTTCATTGAACAATTTTATTTAAATTTAGTGGACATTAATACATAAGTCTTAAATTTAGAAAAACATTATTTTATTATAATAAAATTGAATTTTAGTTTATATTTTAAGGGTCTCGATATTGATGTACAATTCATTGAGTAAGATCCTCAAGAGTCAAGTTCTCGATCTCTGCACTTGAGTTTAGTCATGAACTTAAAAAATTATGCATAGGTACAATTTTTAAATTATTCGAATGCATACCTAACCAGAGATAATAATGACGATTATGACGCCGTGTCTGTACTCCGTAGTATATAGTATAGATGTCTTATCATAAATTCATAAGCCGTTGGCGATTCAAAGTGATATTCAAATAACTAAGATGGGAATTAATAATAATTATAAGCTATAAAACATTAAAAAATGCAATACCATTTGTTATAGTACTTTTTTTTTTTTTAATAACATTTGACCATATTGCACATCAAAACAATCACAATTAAAAATATTATGTTCTATAAGCTCATAATAATTAAGTGTCTGATAATTTATACATTGTTTACAAAAAAAAAGCTCATTATCAAACTGTATATAAAAAATAAAATGCTGTACTAAATTTAAAAATATTATACAAATTCAACATAAATTTGAAAAAATATAAATGTATATTTTGTATATTACCATATATTTTGCAACCAGATGTACCATTACTGCTGTTAGGTGAAAATAGATTTTTCTACCCAACTATTTATTGTCTTTTTATAAATTCTATATTGATGTTAATCCTAAAAATAACTAAAAATTGCAAACATAAATGAAAGATAAATTAAATGATTTGTTTGAATAAAAATTAAAATGACAGAAAAAAATCCATTAGTGCTAAAAATGTATTAAGTAAAACTTCCATAGAAGCACTTCAGTATTTTATAAGGAATTAAGTAATAGTGTTATATTGCTTAAAAAGGATAATTATTAAAAACATTAAATACAGATTTTAGTTGCAATAATTAGTTCTAATAATTTCTGATAAAAGTTAATATTAAGTACTAACTGCTAAGAACACAAAACAAAATCGGCTAACCAACTTATTGAGTACATATGGTGAGCAGTTACACAAAAAAGATTCATACCAATAACAGATTTAAAATAATTTAACAAATAAAACCAGACTAAAAAATGTTAATTAAAGACTAAACAGTTCTTCCATGATCCAAGTACAAAAAAATTAAGACAACTTTGTTGCACGATTTTCATTTTACAATATACACAATTGATACATAATTCAACAAATAAAAATCACATGATGAATACTATAAACGTAGAATTATGTATAATATTATTATATAAAATCATTATAATATAATTGTTACAAATTACACAACATTATATTACAAAAAATTGACAATATTATCACGGTTTTCACATGAAACCGTACAACAAGTTGTAGTCTTTTAATAAGTATATAAGTGCACAAATATTAAAATAAAAATTAATATAATATTTATTAATTTTATCACCAATTAATTAACTTAATTTTAAATAATATTCAATTAAAATGTTTTATAAAAATTCTAATTGTTTTGTTTGAAAAAAAAAAAATATCACAATAAAAATATTTCTACTAAAACAATGATAACTTGTCTATTTAAAATAATTAAATTAAAAAAATTATAGTTACCTACAGAAAACAAATTTTGTACACAAAGACGTACAGAAATTCAGATCACAAGGTAACAGGAAATATAATTAAAAATAACTTACTCATATTTATTTAAGTACAACAACAATAGTTTCAAGGGATAAAGAAGAAGATATACAATTTCAAAAAAAAATTTTTTTTATAAGTTTACAGATGTTTCACTGGTACAAAATGAAAGAAAATTACTTATTCAAGCACCCTGTGTTAACAATTTGTATTTTTTAATTTTCCTTTCTTGTGTAGTGTATAATTAATTGAGTAACACAAATAAAAATTATATTAAATCAATACAGTTTTATCAGTTTTTGTAGAACTCTTCGATTAAATCTTTGTATTTATCATTCACCGCTGGACGCTTGACTTTTAATGTAGGACCTGAAACAGTCAATTATTTACATTTGTAGCTGTTTATTAACAAAACTTTTAATAATTATCAAGAAAAATAAAGTAATATTCATATATGCAGCTCATTAATATTGAAATGAAGGATAATAAATTATTGATATAACTGTTGAGACCATAATCATTGAAATAATGAAATATAATCATTTAAATATCTTTGAAACACATTCAAAACATTTAGAAAATCACTTAAACTACTCATTTAATGGCAGTAAAATATCATAATATATGACAAAAAATAAAGAGAAATATCTATAAAATAGTATTTGTTTTAATATAATGTAATAAACAATAGATAAAAGTAAAATTTGGATTTTTAATTTGCTTACCTAATTCACCAGTAGGCAAGGAGAAATCAACAGGTAGAAGTGTAAATTTCTGGATTTTCTGTGCATTAGATATAGCTTTCTTGTTTGCTGCATCAATACCTTTTTGTATGGCATCCATTACTTCTTTAGGTTTATTTGCTACAACCTCTGACACTTTGGTAAAATTACAATTAAGTGACGATAGCCATGTAATCACTTCAGGTGTTAAAGTGTCAAGTGGCTCAGCAGTTTCAGCATTTACTTCACACTAAATACATACAATATAATATAATTATACTAATAAAAATGTCTAAAAAAAATAAAACACTAAAGTATACCTTTAAAGATAACAATATTGACAAAAATTTTCTCTTGTCTCCTATTAAGAAAGCATTGCTAATAACTGGTAATTCAGCTTTAACATTATTTTCAATCAAAACAGGAGGTATGTTCTCTCCGCCTGCTGTGATTAATAACTCCTAAAATCCAAAACAACAAAAATATAATTATATATGTTACAAATTTTACTTTATTTAATTTCCCATACCTTTATCCTTCCAGTAATAGTAACATATCCTTTATCATCTATTTGGGCAATATCACCAGAATGAAGCCATCCATCAGTGTCTAAGGTACTTTCGGTTTTATCTGGCATATTCAAATAACCCATAAACACATGACGTCCATAAACACACAACTAAACATGTTATATTAAATTAATATCGGTTTAAAAAAATGTAAATTATATGTATATGTGTTACGGTAAATGATGTTAAATGGAAATTAACGTTATTCACCGGTTATTAACGTTATTTACCAAATATACAGGTAATTATCGTTATAAACTGGATAATCACGTTAATGACCAAATACACAGGTAATTGATGTTATAAATCAGATAAGCGCATGAATCTCAAATACTACAATTTGAAAAATTATGTAAGTACCCAGATATTTTTAAAAATAGAATAAATGCATTATTATTTTTTATTTATTTTTACAAATTTTACTCCCATGACATTTAATATAACATAATTTTTCAGCCCCAAGGTAGGCACAATGCTTATTATTATTACAACTAGTCTTGCAATGACAACGCTGGTACCTTCGAGGGCTCGCAACCGAATTATTACTAGCTACTTCCCTCAGTGTCAACTGTCTACCATATGCTAATTTTATCACATTGTCCATGTCTAATAGATTTTATTTGCAAACAGCTATTTTTGGCATGTGAAATAATATTTAAGAAAACTATATTCCGTACTTATAAAATAATAAAACAAATTTTAATTTTAATAGTATATTTTTTCATTAAGAATTAACTTACAGAGTTTGTATAAATCATGTTCAACTTGAGTGACAACTGATAGTATATTTTGCATAGAACCACGAGCTCTATCAACGTTTGGTATAAATACACATACAGTTAAGCCTATTTCAAGCTGAGGAAACTTTTCTTTAGAAAATTTTATCATTTCCTCTCCTTGTTTTTCTAAATTTTTTTTTGAATTTTTACATACAATACAAATATTTTCTTGACAATCATCAAAAAAATATTTAAAATAATTTTCAAATATTTATATTTTAGTTTTATTTTTGTTATATTTAAAATTCGGAAATTTATCGTTAAATAATTAAAAAATATTTAAGTACCAAGTTCCGAATTTTTTTCTGCGATTTTTATGATTTAATTTCCGATTTTGTCTTCTTTGATGATTGGTTCTTTGGTTATTTTTTTAAATCTTCCGCAATAACCTCTTTTATTTTATAATCAGATCAAAATTTCCCAAATCATACGGTTATTAACGTTATTCACTAGAAAATAACGATAATTCCCACATTCGTAGGTAAATAACGTTAATAACCGGCGAATAACGTTAATTTCTGATATAACATCATTTACCGTAACATATGTATTGTAGAAAACAAAAATGTTGGTTTTACCTCGCCGTTACCGTCCTTATCAGGTTTGTCGATTTTTGACCTAACTCCTTCTAATGTTTTTCCAACACCAGCAACATTTTCATCGATTGGATTACTCAGCGTATGTGCACCTCCACACTCAGACATTCCAAATGCCTATTAAACCCAAATAAAATTAATTTAAAGTCCAAAAAATTGTTAAGAGTAATATCATATTACTTCGCATAAGGGTATATCCAAACTCATAAAATACTTCTTTATATCTACTGATATAGGAGCAGCAGCTGAAATAAAATATTTACATCTATCGAAACCAATAGCACTTTTGATGCGACTAAATATTAACCATCTGAAGAATTTATACGAATATGTTTCTCTTTCAACTCTGTAACAAACATATTTTAAATTAAATAGTATAAAATAATAATTGGTTTATAAAAACAACCATCAGGTTTAACATTTCAAAATTATATTTTTATTAAACACAAATTTAAAGTTTCTAAACAATAAAAAATATGTTTTGTTAGAATAATAATGTCTAGCATTAAGTGTACTAACCCTTTCATTGCATCTTCATAATGATTTAAGCCAACTTCTTTAGCCCAATCAGCAATGTATTTTTTCAATGAACCTGATTTTCGGCCAATACTCACTAACTTTTCATTGATTTTTTCCCAAACACGAGGAACACCCAAAAACACTGTAGGTCTAGCAGCTTGAAGTGTACTCACTAAAGAACCCTAAAATAAAAATAATTAATTTATCAATTAAATAAGTATACAATATTATGTATTAAAAAATTTTAATTTTCATAAACAAACCTTTAAAGCGTCTTTTTCACCAAAATATACTTGAGCCCCTAAAGTGATCGCACTATATATATCAGTGATCTATAAATATTAAATATTATTAAAAAAAATAATCATAAGCTAATGTACATGTACGTACTTGTGCTGCTACATGACTCAAAGGTAAATATGATACAAGAACTTCTTTGCCATCGACTAAGGACAAAAATGTTGTGATCATATGTGCATTATATGTGAGATTATCATGACTAACCATGACAGCTTTTGATGCACCTTCAGTTCCAGACTAATTTTAATATATATAAAATAATACTTTTGATATAAAACAAAGATATTTTGATAAAATATTTAAATATAAATTACCGTAAAAACTAATGTACAACACTCATTGACTCCCATGGTTTTCAAAATAGCATTTAATTTTTCATCAGATTCAGCTAATCCAATTCTCATTACATCTTCCCACTATAAAAAATATAAAAATGAAATTAATTGTAAGGTAATTTTAAAACAATAAGAAGCCAAAATCTAAATTTAATTTAAAAACCATAAATTTACTATACCTAAGTATACTATTTAAGACTTTCATGACATTAAAATGACCTACATATGTATTATACAATATGAACATACTTCAATGTAAAACACTCATTATCTTAAAAACTATCAATATTTTTATGATGTAAATATTAAATTATTAAAAAATAACATTTGTGAGAAAAAAATTTAATTTTTTACTTTTATAATGACATGTTTTTTTATTTTTTTTTTTAGTCCATTACTCCATTTATCTAAGCTTTAAATACTTGTAAAATACTCATTCAAAATTCGATTTTTATATACCAAAATACTCTAAACAATTTTCTGCTTTGAAATATAAAATTAAAATGTATTTACTGGTCATTCAAAAAAGTAAAGCTTGACAAATTAAAATAATAAATAGTAAAAACTACCATTTTTTCCAAAAATGTTGATAAACAATTATTGAAATTTGTTTAAAATATAAATTATCAAAACATTTGTATTGAAAATGTTTGAAAATTCATAATTGAAAAAATATACCACTACATATTATAATAAAACATTTTTCTAAAATATGTACTAATTCAAGTAAATTTAAAATACTATCAGGAAAAAATTATATAACTAAACTAATAACTTACAGATAAAACACCCTCTTCAGTAGGTTTTCCTTCATACTGAATGATGGCTTTCAAGTGGGGTAATTTACTTTTTACTGATAGTATTTTCTCTAATTGTTTGCTATCTTCAACTACAGCTATATTTGCTTTACTTGTCTCTAAACAGTGGAAACAAGCATCCACAAGATTTGTTGTATACATTCCAGCAGCGAAACCACTTCATTAACAATAAATAGTTATTTAATACATTTTAAGACGTTAATAAATATTTAAAAAATAAAATAAGACTTATATAACTGCATTATGCATTGAATATATGAAGTAAAAATATTATTCTGTGGTCGAACTGTACACTAAATTATAAGAGAAAAAAAATTATTTTACCCAGCATAAATAGCACCCAAGTCTGAATAAAACCATTCTGGAGAATTAAAACCGATTATACAAACACCATGAAATCTTTCAAGGCCCAACTTTATAAATGCTTTGGCAACAGTTCGTACATTTTGTTCATATTCTCTAAAAATAAATTTTATGTTTAATAAGATTAAGTACTTGTGAGTGAGTATAATTTTAACAAAAAACATACTTGTAAGTAACTTTGACCCATTTATTGTCAGATTTATAATTTAAAGCAGGTAGATCTCCATATTTTTCAGCACTTCTAGTTAAAAGTCCAGGTACAGATATGGGAGTAATATCTGAACCAGCCTCAATTCTTAAAGTAACTCGACCATTCGCTTCACTTGTATATTTTTGAGAAGCAGGTAAAACTTGGTCTGGCCCATCTAAATATGAAAAATTGCATAATTATAATAAATATCTCATAACTCAATATTAAACAATTCTGAACATCTTAACTTAATTTAAAAGCTTATTTTTATAAATAATATTTAACTAATAAATTTAAAATTAAGTCTATAAAATGAGTTCATATTAATATAAAGAAAAAAAACTAATACTTACAGTTTTCTGCTGGTTTTGAGTTGTCAAAACTTCAATAAGAAACATAAAAAAATAAAGGAAAAAAATTTAAATAATAATTTTAAAAATTATCAATGTAAAATCAAAATGATTAACTTTTAAAGATGATTTCTTAAATACTAACCTCATTTTTGTGTTATTTTCATCAACAACACTAGGTAAAAATGAATTCTGTAAAGCAAAATAGTAATATTAGTGAACCAAATCAAGGAAAATATTTCTAAATAAATTTAACTATATTTTATATTTAATTCTATACATTAACTTAGTAAAAAAATTAAATTATGGTTAATAATAACTAACCTCTTTTATTTTATATTGATTTCCACCATTTTGCATAACACTTGGAATAATATCACCGTCATCACTCATAATGAATTAAATAAGTACTGAAAAAATAAAAATAGAGATCAATTATTATTAGAGCAGATTACAAATCATTATATATTTTTGATCCAATTAGGAAAATAAATAAATTTAAAATGTGATAACATAGATATATCTAATTAAATACTTCAATTATATTAATACATTTTAAAATAATTATATTTCCATGATTTATGGTAGGATTGGTTTAAAACCAAAGTTCATTTTTATTTTCTTTATATACTTAATACAGCAATATCTATATTCTATACATAACAAAACTTTTAATTAGCTTTAAAATGAAAGATAAACATATATATATATATAGACACTATTTATAACATTTTATCACAGAAATAAGTATAATAAACTTTTTAAACATTTTCAATGATTCAAAAAAGTATTTATATAAAGTATTATATTTTAAAGATATCACATTATAGTAAAACCCAAAATGTCTTTAGAATTTAAAATTATTTTCTTTTTTCATCAATTATTGTTATATTTTAAATTGCAATAATGATTTATAAAATCAATGAGGCATGTGTAGTTTATATCATAGGTAATAATTATAATCTACAAGTATTTATAGTTTTTTTTTTTTTTTTGTTAATCAGTTTTATTTATTATGCCATTGAACATGTAAGTACAATATATCTATTTTAAAATATTATTTTTTATCATATAATTTAAACTATATTGATGAACATTTTTTTTATAAACTTATGTATAAATATATTAAAATACCTAATTATCCCAAATTTTGTTAATGATTATTAAATTATAATATTTATATAAATTAACAATAGATTTTTTTTGTACATACACAAATAAACACCATTTTGAAAACTTATAAGTAATCTGACCTTACAATATTTAAGTACATTTACTAATTTCAAGTCTTCTTTAGGAAAGTATTCTAAAATGACCTTCAATTTAAAAACATATCAATATTTAACATTGCTTATAAATTTTATTTGAGATAAAATAAACACAATCATTAAAAAAATATATAAATCAATGTTCAAAATTACAGTGTGATGTGTGAATTTACATAAAATTCCTACTCTATAAAATCAATATTTTAGAATTTTTTTTAATAAAATTTATCAGTAGAAATTTGAAATATGTGACTTTGATATTTACTATAAGTACATGATTACAAAAAAAACTACATAGGTGATATCAAAAAATAAATAATAAAAATATCTACAATGTTAATAACTGTTAAGTATTATGTTTACAATAACACAGGTTGATCAAAAATTTATTATTTTAAAAGTTTAATATGTTATTTATCCATAAAATGTAAATAATTTAACAGTAAAAAATTTACTTCATAAATTAAGATAACATAAAATAAATTTATAGTTGATCTAAGTGAGAGATCAACAGTAATTAATTGACTTAATCAATGCAGATGTATATGCAAGTGAACTTTCTATAAAATATAACCTAATTACAGTATAAAGATAAATTGATTATTCACCAACAATAAAAATGTAAAGTTGCCAATAATTTTGTTGTAATTGTGAATAATAGCAAATCATTAAATTAGTAGGAATTTATAATTGAGCACTTAAATCATTTTTAATGAAAAATGTATGTTTATGTAAAAAAAAATTATAAAAGCATTTTTTCAGAGAAACTCTAATTATAATAATTATATTATTACACTTGATTATAATTTACTAACTACCTACCACTACATGTCTTTTATTTTTAATGTAAAAGCCAAAACAAATACTTACACTTTGACTTGAATTACATTCATAGAATAGTTATAATTATTGAGTAATAACAATAGAAACCTTGAACCATTCAGTACATTCAATTACATAATTATTTTAATTTATAGAACAAAATTTTATGAGAACTAGGTAATCACTTCATACAATTAAAGAAAGTAATAATAAATATTTTTTAATTTCAAATTTTAATTTAAGTATCAGATCTAAGAAGAAATCAGAAAACAAGGATATGGAGCTACTAAAATATTTATTGAAACAGGTTTAGTTTAAAATCAAGTTTATTTTGCATCTGTTATTCAAGATGACCTCAAATATATATAAACCTAAGATCAACTAATCTTATTAAAAATTAAATGCCAACTTACTATTTTTTATGCTATAAAAAAATAATTTCAATTTAATAACCTATTAATAATTATAGATACCAAATAGGTATTTAATTTAATAAATATATTTTTTTATTTACTAATTATTTGTATTCAAATTGCTATTAGGTAGAGGATAAGACAGAAATATATCTTTTATTGTTAATAATTATTAAAGAAAATAAAAATTAACTAAATCATTAAGCAATCAATGAAAAAAAAAGTGGGCAGTTCAATAAACTTAATTATTTATATATTATTTTGATAAATATATTACAATGCCTAAGCAGGAGCGACAAGATTTTAGAGTCCACATAATACATCTTTTAATTAATCTGATTCTATAAATGCTTGTCACATAAGAGATTTTATAATAATGTAACAACATTTTGCACAACATTTAATGTGACGTTATCATGTATGGTTAAAAATAAATATAATAATGATAATTTGTTTTCAAATTGTATTGAATAAACATTATATAAATTAATTATAATGAAATAAATAAATAATAATAAAGTATACAAAAAAAATTGACAGGTAGTTGATTTCAATTTATTCTTTTATTATCAATGACTAATGGCAAAAATCAATAATGATAGTTTAATTTTTATAAATAAAATAATAAAATTAAATCAATTTAATTTAATTTAGCTGTATACTTATTGTATTTATTTATGACGAATGCCATAAGTTTTTTTTTACGTTTAATATTTTCTGATCATAAAACAATGTAATTAATCCGATTTTTCTGACTAAAATTCTAACAATTCTTTTAAAATTAAATAAATGTGTGAATAAGAGTGATAAAATTATAAATTACTAGTATAAAATGAAAATTTTTGAAATCTTTAGTTTTTCTACAAAAAGTTAAAGTCTTATCATTAAGGTACTACTAAATACTCTTAAATTATTTTTAAAGTGTATAGGTATTTCTAACTTAAGAATGTTGATGGCTTTTTTGCTCACAATTCTGGTGAAAATAAGCTTTCATTTTCAATACTACTATTCAAAATATTATCAGTAAACACATGTCCTAAATCATCATTGAAACAAACACTTATTTTATTTACTTCATTACATGTAAAGAAAAGTATAATGAAAAAATGTTCCAACTATTTTGTTACTTATGATATGTTGTACAAAAAAAAAAAAAAACCATGATCTCAGTATACTTGTGTTGATTGTCAAACAGGTTAGTGATCAAACAGGTAACCAATGAGTTTGAGCTCAGATTAGTTCCTCTGTTAAAATGATATATTCTATATAGATAATAATTATTATCAATAATTTTAAAATATAAAATTAGATGAACAAAATTTTATAATGACGGTGCAAATTCATTTTATCTAGCATCATGTAAATGAAAAGGTACATGAAGAATCATGAAAAGCCACATAGTAAAGGTTAGCAGAGGGTGCTTTATACTTAGGTAATAAAACTGACTGATTTTATGAAAATAAAAAAAAACCTTATTTATAAATACAGATAATAATTAGATAACGAGGATTTACAGATTTATTTGATATTACTATATGAACAATATATTTTGATATATGACAATTTTAAAACGAATACTCTGACCAAGGTTTATTCCAACTACTAGTCTATAAAAAAAAAAATGAAACATAAGCGAGTAAATAATTTGATTAGTGGAAAATTAATTTGTATAGGTACCTAGTGTTATGACTTATGACTCATAAAATACACAAGGTCTTAGTATTAACTAATTGTCTACATACATAGTAACTCATTCACAGTTTTTATAGCTTGTATGATTAAACAAAAATTTCAAAATGTTTCTATTAAATAAAATAGAATCATAAAAGCATATAACAACATCAAAATAATAATTGTTAAAAACATTTTAAATATTACAAACATATTTTTATGATACCAAGGTAATTAAAAATTAATACATAATATATTAAAATTTAAAATGCACCTAATCTACCTAATTTAATTTTTTTTAAATACTGATTAGTAATTACATTTAATAACATATTAGATATTTACCTAATTAATGTAAATGTAGGTAAGTATCTAATTGGAATTTAACAGTAAGACATAGATGAGATTCATTTTATAAGTAGGTACCTAATAAACTGGAACTCAGTAATACATTCTAAAATATCTTCTACATAATTTAAAATGAAATAAAACACTTTTACCAAAAACATATATTAAAATACATATTATGCTTTTTATACCTACATCTATACTATAATTTACTCCAAGTTAATATGTTATTGAATTGTGTTGAAATAAATAAATAAATACCGAACTGTGGATTCTATGAGAGTAAATATTAGATGGAAAGGTAGTCATTAAATAAGAAAGTAGGTACATATTATTAACCACTTATCAAGCAAAGTTATATCAAAGAACAATTTTGAAGACATACATATTAGGTATTTTTCCAACACATGTAGTCATACAATATATATACATATGACTATAAGAATAACTAATATCTTTGAACATAATATCTTTTAAAATTACTCAACAATCGAAAATAAAAATCATAACTTTTACACACAGAATTTGTGTTTTTAAAATAAATACTTGGTTAAAACATCAATATATATTTAATAATGCACCTAAATAATAGGTTAAGAAACTAACATTCAAGGACAGTTATTTCAAGATTTAAGTAGGAAGTGCAAATCCATATATATTTTATTAGTTTAAGTAGATATACCTAGAATATTTATTCTAACTTGATTTTAGATAATCTGTTAAAAAAAAATCAATTGGTTATTTTATATAACTGAAGATAGATATGTACAAAAATATTATACATGTATGCATTACAATAAATAAGTATTTTAAGCCCATATTATACTGATTTACCCATCAGTCAATCGATAAATGCATTTTTTGGTGTTTACTGACTTTAATCTATCAATCGGGATAGTTAATCAATCAACTAATATTGAGCCAGTGTAATACTAGTTTTATATCTACATATTACAATACTAAAATTATCTAATCACTTAATACACATACAGTCATGAGTATATAACTAAATTAATAAAGTATGAAACTTTTAATAGCACAATAATATAATATTCAAACAATGTATAAAATACGAATATTGTAGACTAAAAATTGCTTATCTTGTGTTAATAATGACTATTTAAAATATATAAGGCTTCTTATATTAACGAAGAGCATACTCAAGCGTATGTAAAAATATAACAAAAAGAAATAGTCTATAATTATCTACCTACAAGGAAAAACCCTAAAGCTAAAGCTAATTTTTTGGGGTTTAAATGTACCTACCCATAAATAATCAAATTCTGAAAATAAATTCAACTACTCATATATGTACAAAATAAAAACAATAAAAAAAAAAAAAATGTAAAAATGCATAAGCACATAGATAAAATAATTTACAATTACATAGATAGGTACAAGGATAGATACCTACTACTTAACTACTTATTAATATGAACCTAAAAGAATATACATTTACTTACTAATGAAATAATTGTATGTACCTACCTAACATTTGTATGATAATATTATGGAAAGTACACAATCTAAATTATAATCAAGCGTTTAATGAAGTCAACTAAACAAACAATAAGGTGTAAAAACTTTTATTCAATTCAAATTTATCAGTTGGCCGCGCAAAACGTCCTGACCTCTGTGTCAGACGTATTATCATAATCCACACACACACACACACACACACACACACACACACACACATACACATACACAGATCAGGTACACGATATTAAGCAGAAAGTGTAAAACAAAATAGTATACGTTTGTATTGGCAATAAATGAAAAATCACTTATTGGCTTATCAAAATTAAAAGAGGGTACTGAAGGTAATATCAATATATTATATTATATTATACAAAGGTGGGCCCGGTCGTAGTTTATCTGACGACCATCGTCCCCTTCGTGCAAAGTAAAATGCAGTATTTACCTTTTCGTCGGATGTCGAATTAATACAGAAAACAATCTTATTATCTCTTCAGCCACTGGGGAAACCAAGTTAGAAACGTACTTTAGCCACAGTGAAAGTTCAGACAGACATACCGACAGCGACAATACTGACTCTTAACGTAGTTCACGAGAGACGACGGCACTCGAATGAGTAAACGGCTATTAGTGCGAGCGCCGAGCAGTGACTGACAGACGCGGGACGACAGTCGGCGATGGCAGTGAATTGTAGAACCGGCTACAAAAGTACGAAATCCAAATGACTCGTAACTTCCTCCTCTTTTAATCACTTGAACCGGCTGTTGTTCGTATCGCGTTGAAGTCGGCGATAAGCAAATTTTACTACTTTTAATTAGGTGTACACTGCAGTCGTGATTTAAATGATGAAACAGTTTAATAATAAACGGAAAATTCCGATAACGCGAGCGACAGACGTCCCGGGGGCCCACGTTTGTCGTGGACGACGGATGAGTGTTGCAAATTATTTATAAATATAATTACATTACACATACATATATATACTCATAAAATGATATTGTATTATTATTATTAACGCGACGGCGGCCGATAATCGACACGGTATAGTGTGCGTAAGAAATAATAATTACAACAATTTTGTGCAGCGTAAATAATGATTGTTCTATAGTTGCGAATTGCGATTTTTACTTCGCAAGACTCGTGCGCGGACAGGTAAATTCTCCTAAGGTGACAACGTCGACACTTCAACAGTGACACGCACATACACTGGCGGGCGGTCTGCTCTACACGGTCCACGGTCGTGGAAACGGTTACGGAATTGGAAATCGGTGTTAGTGCAAAGGTGATCGCTTCCGATCGAATCGCGACAGCGTGACGTCACCTCGTTTGCACGTACACGAGGTTGCTACCGCTACGTCGTCATGGAACAAACAGAACCGCGGCTGCACCTAGGACCCGACGACCCGGCTTGAACGAACCGGCCGTACGCGCACGTGACGACGTGGTCAACGCTCGACCCGGCGACGTATGGCTGGGCGGGCTTTCTCGATCGCACCACTTCGGCGGCGACCAATGGGAAACGCGCTCACAGACCAGGCCGCGGCGCTAAGTAAAATACTGAATTGCGAATTGCGAATTCCGCGCGCGTCACCGATCGAGGCGTACTCTTGCATGCGTTTCTTCACTTCCTTCTTTCGATTTTTGTGAAAAATATTATGTGTAAAATCGGATTAAAAATACAAACTATATCAAGCTAATAACATATTTAATAAATCATCGCGACCCGATTTTCAGTCATGAACGCTTTTAAATATTAAAACAATATTATATAATGTTGTTGACCGGGTTTTTTTAGACGGGTGTCCGTGATTATTTTTCGCTTCAAGGTTATCATTGTTGTTGTTATCGTCATCATCATCGTCATGCCATTCACCACTATCATTATCATCGTCACCGATCATCATGACATTCGGTTACCTTGTACTAGTTGTACAGTATGTACAATATTACAGTAGTATAATATACTGATTACTCGTTTACTTCCTACTTGTATCGGATCGTCGGGACCAAATATCGGTACAATCTCACCTCACACGAATACACGATTATATAACAACCATCATGCGTACAATTAGCAAGTAATGTTAAAACACAAAAAAAAATCAACAAAGTAATTTTGTAATTATTATGATATTCGACTTTTATTCAAAAAATAAGTTCAACAAAATTATTAAAAATAAAAGTTACCTTGTACATTAGGTCATTTGCCATATTGATGGAAAAATTCAAAAAATACTTAAAATTACTTTAGTTAAGTAGGTAAATATTTACTAAGTAATAAGTATAGGTACCTACCTATACATAAAAATATAAATTCTTAATTTCAAAAAGTACACAACAATATACATTTTTAAGTGCTCATATACAGTATCACAATAATATAATTCATAAAATGGTTAAAAGATTATTAAGATCACATGATAAATTATTCATTCAAAACAAATTGATAACAAAATAAAATAATCATTTTAATTTAGCCTTTTTTATGTTTTTTTTATCAGGAAATGATTTATCTCTAGATGTTTTAGTACTAGAAGAACTTTTGCCAGCTTTGCTACTCTTATAAGCCAATGACATTTTTGTAATATTATTTTTGTAAACATCTTCATGCACTACTATTCGTTTTGGATAATGTACTCCAACCACACAACCAGCTCTTTCTTGAATGGACTTGGGTGCCAACCATGGTTCATATATATACTGATCTGGATACTTAATCAATTCTGGAATATATTTTCTGATGTAATCACCACTCTTATCTGTCTTTTTTCCAAATGCAACTGGACTATAGACTCTAAAAAATTGATGGAAAAATGCTGATGCTGACAACCACATCCAATTGCCAGCATTCATTGACCAATCTGCATCAAGTAATAATTCTTCAAATACAGCTAAACCCTTTTCCCAAGATATCCACAAGTCTCCTCGAGTTAAAAAACATGCAACAGCGTGTCTGGCTAAATGATGTATCCACCCTTCATCTCTCAATTGTCTCATAATGGCATCAATAAATGGATATCCTGTCTTACCATTTGTCCAGGCTTCTAACGCATCAGGATTGTTGTCCCACGGCACTTGACAACAAATTGAATTTCCTTCCATTTTATCAAAATTGGGAGTTGAAGCACCAACAGTATAATAGAACTCTCTCCAATACAACTGACCAATCAGAGACACAGGTGGTTTGGAATGAGGGCTATTACCAATAACTTCTTTTAATCTATAATAAAAATGACTTGCTGATAAACACCCAAATTTCATGTATGGACTTAATACAGTGGTGCTGGGTTTCAGGCTATTTGGTGATGTATTTGGTTTTTCAAATTTACAAACCCATGTCTTATTTTTCATATATTCTTCCAAACGTCTAAGAGCTTCTTTTTCACCACCAGGATATAAACATGGTTTAAGTTCTGCAGGGTTGAAACCCTTCAACGTTAATAATTCTTCTAATGTTGGCACATCAAACTCTTGGTTGTTTAAGTCATCATTAAGTAGACACTCAGAAGGCAATGTATGCGGTGCAGGTATTGGTTGACGAGGATTTGGCATAGAGTCAACAACAGATATAAACTTCTGGTAAGTCATTGGAACGCAACCTCCATTTGCCCTGAGCACAAGTTCCGTGTTATAAATAGTATGTGAGACCTTTTGTTCTACTTTGACACCATGTTTTCTGGCCAGTTGTTCCACTTGATTATCCCTCTCACGAGCATACGGCTCAGTATCCAACTCAAATGTCAACAGTTTTACATTCCATTTAGCAAACAAGTCTGGAAAGACTTCGTGTGGCAACCCTCTGATAACATAAAGCCGTGTGCCCAGTTTCCGTAGTGTAGTGTCCAAGTCCACCAGACTTTGCTGCAAGAACCTCCAACGGTTCGCACCTGCTCGTATGTATTTGCGGAAATAAGGGTCTAATATGTAAATGGGTCTGAGCTTGTAACACTTACCGCTGTTATTTTTCGCTTCGAACGATAGCCTAAATGCCGGGTTATCGTGCAAACGCATACCTTTCCTGAACCAGTGCACGGATGTTTCATGTCCAACGTCAACATTGTTTTTATCCATGTTGTTACTAATGCTACAATATTATGATCTTATTGTATCTTAATCTTGCATATATTAAGTAGACAAAATGATAATCTAAAAATTTACGTTGAGCTATTTAGGACGAAAAAAAATGAAATCACCAAGGTGAAAATTATGTACTCGTAAAGTAATAGGTTAATTACAAGTGTTTTAGTAGTTTTAACTGTTACAGCTTTATTAGCGATATAAGTACAGAAATATTTAATCATTAATATTGTTTATTTGAAAGTCTAAATTTAAATAGTTAAAAGTTTTAACTTGAATCCGAAACGTATGAATCTGTATTATCTAATCAAATAATTTCTGTAGTTATTTGTTATCATTATCGTAATATCGAGTGATAACAGTTGTATTGTGGTTGTATGTTTGTTTTGGTACTCGTATCCTATCGTCAGACCACGATTAAAGTATATCTTTAATCGTGCGTCAGACTGAAGTCTATGAACTATGTTATTATTTAAATTTTGAACTTCTAAGACTATTTATATATTTTTTTTTAATTGTTCGAAGTAATTATAAGAATAACATACAATTGTAGGTAAATACATTATTTTTTTTACAGTAAACATAACAGTTATTGTATTTAAATTAATTGTATCAGTATTGTGAGTTTGTGAAAATATAATAAAATAAAATAAAATTACAACAATAATCAATAATCTATACCTTTTCTATAAAAAAAACTTTAATAATATCACCATTTTTATAATCGTATTAAGGTATTAATTTAAGTGTATGTCCTCTTCCCACTACCATCTTAATAATTATACGTGATTTCCGACTATGGAATTAATAATGAATTCTTCTTGTTGACATTGAATAAAATACACTTTAAAGTAAATATAACCATAACCTTATGCCCATATAACTACTTTAAACTTCAAATACTTAATAAACAAACCATTAAACTAGTATAATATCAGATGATTAAAGAAGCAATACTTTATTGATTTTATAAAGTTGTGTGAAAGTACAGTAAGTAGTTGAAAATATCGTAATAATGGTCGTTTTTAAAATTTGAGAGTGGTTTTGAATAGCAAATTGGATTTAGTTTGTACTTAAGAGAAGTCAAAATTTAAAATTTCCAGCACTGATTTTTATAATCGAACAAAAAACAAAAAATTAAGAAAAAACTGTAATTTTTAGACAAATCCAATATTATTTAAAAATTATTTTTTTGTATCCTTGATTACCAAATTAAATTTATCAAATTTTATCTTTACCTAATTAAATGTAGTTTATAATAGCAAAAGTTGTTAAAGCTTAACAACAACAAAAAAACAAATCATGAAATATACATAGTGATAATATAGGCTAACAGATCGTTTCCGTTCAAAATCGTTTTTCATCATGTATAATGATTAATGACAACTATGGAGTTCATATTAATATATCACACCTATAATAGTGACCCACTCAACACCTAATGTACAACAGTGTAGTACTCACTCCAACACTACATTACCTTTTTTTAAATTTATATTGACATATTATACCTAACTAATATTAATTGTTTTTATAAATATGGCTGGATTTGCCATAACTGCACTTTAGGAAAACAATTATTTTTTAGTTTATCATAAAATAATAACTGATGATTTATAAAAATGTATCTCTGCTTATAGGTACCTACCAATATTATTTAGTATAATAACGTTAGTTTGGTTTTATATAATAAAGAAATTATATATAAAATGATGTTTTATAAATCTTGTTATTTAGTGTATCTACATTTTGAAGACATTTTCATATTCCCTTCAAATTGTTATTCGAAATTGTGCCATCAATATCTACTTGATAATATTATTTATTAGGTATATCGTACTATATAACATTTGTATAACTGTATAAGGATTATAAAATATACGTATATACAGAGTCCAGAGTCTAATGTGGCCAGTGGTCGTTGTTGCCAAAATTAAATAAAAATAATTAATAGAAAATTTTGTTTATAATAATATTGAACAAATATTATTCTTGATAGACACATCGATACTAAATTGAAAATACTGTCGGCTAGAATACAGCTCTGGTAAATTGTGTAGGTATAATGTATACATATTACATAATACAAAATACAAAATAATAAAATGTTAGCTTATTTTTGTATATCATAATTGTATACATGCTGTAACGTGTGTATTATAATTTATAATTAAAAGCAATAATATAGGTAAGTAATAGACACAGATAAATCTATATAAATATATAAAATATGTGTTTTACATTTAGCCATATAAGACAAAATCACAAAGATAAATCTCGTAATCAATGTAATATTTACTATTATAACTAATTATTTATAGAACTGTCATGTTTAACAGAATGACAAGTGTGTACACTGTATAGTTTTAAAATAGGCTAGAGGTCTGCTGAAGCCGAAAATTTGCAGCCCAGATACAATTTTTTTTTGTATAATCTCGGACCGGATAAGTTTGTATTTTTTAAAACACATTGTTATTTAGTATTTGCTATATAAATTTTATAACATCACTCACCAAACTAGCCTTGTTGAAACGCGACGAAAAGTCTTAATCGAAACCAGTGGTATATTGGTATGTTGTACTATTTCTACTGAATGAGCAGACTTGAACATATCACCCACCCATATTTTATCTAAATGTACCCACCTTTTATAAAAGCTCGCATTGTATTCTTCGAATATTAACAAATACACATAGTCATAGATAACGATCTCATAACATAACATCTTTATACGCCCATGTTAATTACAGAATAATAGAACATGTTTATTCATTTTTCGTGTTAAAATAGTTATATTTAAACTAATATAAATGAAGTCGTATTTCTTCTTCAATAAATTATAAATTAATTAATTATACTACTCTAATGATATTACAATATTATAGATATTTAGATGCATCTCTGATTTCTATAGTTTTAGCAAAATAGTACACTTGTAATTATTAACTACCCTTCTTACAATTTTAGCGAATTAGTCACTTCTAAAAAAAATTATTAATACGATATTGAATTCGGAGCATGGCGAGTTTTAAACATATATATAATAATTGAATCGATGATTGCAAAAACGACTCGAGTCACATTTTTTGTAAAATGTCACGAGTCAGATAACTTTGAAAGTCAATAATAAAAAAACATCATATTGGTTATTTATTTACACAAATTATGTATTATCAATGCATAATATATTTCTACAAGTATTCATTTTTAAATAAGAATTTTTTTCAGAATTATTTATATTATACACTTTTTATCAATTATCCAAAAGTTTTGAAAAATTGACACATGTCGTTTCTGCAATCATCGATTCAGTTAGTTTCTATGGTTTTGAGTAAATGAGGAGCTTACACGCTTATTATAGAATAATCAAATACATCATTTCGTATTATAGTCGTCAAATTATCGCGTTTTAACCGGACCCATTAATCAAATAACAAATACTAGCAATATTATAAACCTATTTTCTATGTACAAATATAAATAAATATATATATGAACCTAACTTTGGCCCGGTTTGAGTTTTATTGAATAATTTAAGCAGGTCTTTAGTACCTACTACCATTGATTCTATAAACAATGGTTTATATAATCAATATTATTAGCTAGAAATACATTTTATGTGGTTTTCGATGAATTATAATAAATAACTTATTTACCTATAGAATTGTAGATACTTAATCAATAAATATCCACGATGTATTTCCGTTCATGCGTAGCAAATAATAACATATAGATATATACGTTAGAAAATTCATATCTCAAACACGATAATATAATAGTTAATATTACGGTATTACATTCACCAATAAAATTGATTCGGAGTAATTGGCTTAGAAACACCAGGCACTTATAATGGTCCCTTTTCAACCCGAACTCCAAAAAAATTATGTTACTATATTTTTAATGTTGAATTTAATTTGGTAAAGTTGATAATATGACCAGAAAAAAATGACAAAAGGCTGGAATCACAGATTCAGTAAATTATTGTTGAATATAATCTACTACTATACAAAAATAAATAAAAATTCAAGAGGTAATAAATTAATAATTATGTATATTATGCATAATACACATATTTTAATATATAGGTACTATAGCCAGAAGTGTTCCCATTAATATATATTTTTTTGAGAATATACCATATCATCAAAAATAAACATTTAAATATTTAATACAATAAGAATACCTATTTTTCTTATGGTTTATAGGAGTAAAGCCGGTAAAGAACGTGTCAATAATATGGAAAATTTTTTAAACCAGATTATTAAGTACCTATCATAGATATTTATCACATAATCTGGATCAATATAATGGTATAATATCGATTATGATCGAGAGCATACGCAGTATACCTACCCATAATAATGAAAAAAAAACTTGAGAATATATGGCGTATATATAGTATACCCTATGGGAACACTTCTGACTATAACTACTTAAGTTATTAAAAACGTAGGTATAACTTAGATTTTTTCCTTGCTTTCTCATTTGCAAATTTTCGTGGGATTTCATTAAAATCAATCAATCACAAAACGTAACTTTCTGAATATAATATGATTAATGATGTTACACATTTTCTATGTCTTGTATATTTATTTTTTTTATTCGTATCAACTTAAAACATTTTCTTTCATTCTTTCAATGGAAGTAGTAGAACAATTAGCTACCATTATCGTTAAATAAAATTGAAGTGTAGGTAATTAAAATATTAAGAAATAAATCTTTATCTTGGAATGATGCTTCGTAAAACAATGTTAATAAATTAAATACATCATTCATTAAATGATCTTTACTTAAATTAACAATAAACTCAAAGTCATGATTCTTATTATAATTTACAAACTTAATCAAATTATTATCAAATATTCAAATATGAATTTTTTTTATGATTTGCCAGTAAAATAATTTTATTTATTAAAATCTTTTTTTTGATTATAAACATTAAAAAACTATTTCGTGGATAGAGATTGATCTGGGAGCCATGCCCTTTGCCTTCCCATCCTTAATCCTAACTTGAAAATATTATTCAAGCTTATACAACAGTATTATTTGGTAAATATTTTAATAAAATCATTGCATGATTAACTCCCGCACATTCAGAGCATCTATTTAATTATTTTGTCATAACTCATTAAATATGTTTTCATTTTAATAGTCATAATAAATACGCAATGCAGAGTACCTATTATGTTATTAAATATTGTGAAATCATTTTTTATATTATATACTGATACAGCAATCAATTATTATGGTTCAGGACGCTCTAGTAAAAACTGTGTTATTTTAAATTTATTACAAAACATTAAATGTATTGCAAAAACCTTTTTATCGTCGCTTTTAGAATCGATAGAACTGTAACAATTTTGAAGGTGATTTCTGGTGAGCATTGAATCTAGATGATACCTACGTAAAAAATAAAAAATGCCTA